AAATAAAGAGTATTCATTCATTCATTCATTCATTCATATGGCTTGAAATCAGCATTAAGAGCGTGACATGTCATCTCTTTCCGGCAATTGGAGCAACATGTTAGGGAACTGACTGTCGATATGTTATCCATCTGAATGTTTTTACCATAAGATCCATGTCGTTATAGCAAGCCTTAAAAAGGGAGAAACTAAGTGTAAAACCTCGTAATTACTCGAACTTGAAGGAGTAAAACCCTATAGTGACTTACGAGGAGTAAAACATGGCGATGACAGTAAAATCGTTGTTAATGGTAAAGGTGATGGCAACAAATGGCATTCCAAAATATGCATTGTGGTTTGAACGTATGAGGAAAATACCTTTAACCGATGACTTTTCTTGTGAAGAGGACCACTTCTTGTGGGTCCCGATTGTTTACTGTCACATGACATGCTCTTTGAAAACATGTTTAATACATGAATAACAGCAAAATAACATGACCTGGGCCAACTGTCTGAGCTGCTGGTTCCAACAGTAGCGCTAATGATGCACACTGAACTCAAACAGAACATATTCATTAATCCAAAGAAGACCCTAATTGTCAGCGGAAGGCAGAGTGTAAAAACTGTCCGAATCTAGAAATGACAAGAACAAATTCAATTTCGAGATGTAGCTTTGGGCGGACCAGCAGGCAACACACAGACGTCAGTGTCGGCGAAGACGGAGACACATCTGATGGAGTTGGCTGGATGATTAGACTGGAGAGACATATTTAACTGCAAAACGCCAACAGCTATACTTACCTTTTTCAAACAGAAATGCAGACTTTCTAAATTGTGATTACAGACTGAAAGAGACGTACACCATTTACAGGACAGCCCAATGCAACGCCAAAGGACATGAGCCTATGCAAACCTGAATGACACCGTGACTTTCAGTCCAAAATAGTGTGCAGCCAACAAAACATATTCTTAAATGCCATTCTTCAGCCACTCAATAGATACGGTACACTGCAGTCCCAAAAATCGTAACCAAGGGCAATTCAATAAATCCCACAAAATCCAGTGCAATCCAGAGCCGTTCTGCAGCATGAATATCTTAAATAGTCTAGATTTAGAAAATCGACGTAAATCCGGATTAATACAAGCATACTCACACGTTGTAAGAGGCGAGTAAGGGGAACGGGTTGTCAGGCTCGCTGACTTGGTTGAAGCATGTTTTTCGTCTGCCAATTACATCTATCGATGCTAATGATGTCAATCACTGGATTGCCTGGTCTACTGCTGAGTGCGGCGTCAAACAACAAATCAACCAACCAACTTTTTATTAGGTGTCTCACTCTGAGAATGGGAAATCTAATACCGAATGGATATACGTTTAAAAAATGATACAGGCGATGGGATAGGCTAGTGGTTAAAGGGTTCGCTCGTCACACTGAAGACTCGGGTTCGATTTCCAACATGGCTACAATGTGTGCAGACCTTGTCTAGTGTCCCCCGTCGTGATATTGCTGGAATATTGCTAAAATCGGCATAAAACAATACTCACTCACTTACAAAAATGATACATAAAAAAACATTAAAAAATACGAAATATAGCATTATATACACACAAGTATTGGTTAATACACTTTTTGCGGTGACATCATTTTGTTTGTAGCGCCAGGAGCAAGCACTCTGTGCCTGGAGTTTGGAGCAGTATATGTGCACATATTGTTCTTTTACGTATCACGGACAACATATACATGCAGCTCCATGTGAACATGCCTAGAGACTGGAAGTGAATCACTGATGGCGACTATGTGCTCAATTTCCATACACGCAGTCCCCCTACCGGGCATCGGGATGGGGTCTGACTGCTGATGGCCATGAGGAATGCATTGTCTCTCTAATTAGTCACCTAGTGGTGTGAAAAATCAATATTGTATGCGTGTTTTTTCATGAAAGAACTCTATCGAGGTTTGATGAAATTATATGATACGCCATGCTTAATGACAACGAAGCTTTCAAGTTAGGTTTTGTTATAATATAATTTCCATAGAATTTTCTTCACATGGCAATTAACATAAGCTTGCAGCGACAAAAACAGTTGCTGGCACAGTTTGACAACCAATGACATGGAAGTGAGGTAATATTTAAAAGAAAACAACAAGTTACACATAATGTTCCCACTTTGTAATGTGTTTCTTTTAACGTGAAGATACGAAGTGATGCCGAAATTGCTCATTGTGGACAAATAGGTGTGTCTCGTAACCTTTGATTGCCACTTGTCTACCTCTGTGATCGTTTTACATTTTCTGTGTGACGGATAACCTTAAAGAGCAACCCTGGACCACATAAACCGGTGATTGATTAACCTGTCAAACGCTGATCCAACACATAGTCGTTAAGTGTGACAATAGATTAGCCTAGTGGTTAGAGTGTTCGCTCGTCACGCCGAAGACCCGGGCTCGATTCCTCACATGGGTACAATGTGTGGAGCCCTTTGCTGGTGTCATGATTTTGATGGAATATTGCTAAAAGCGGTGTAAAACTCAACTCACTCACTCACACACTCACCAGTTGCCTCTTACGACAAGCAGGGATTACTGATGATATTAATCCGGATCTTCTCGGGTTCATGCATAATACCAGGCTGGAGAACTGCTTGGTTACTTTCACCCCATAAAGACTGTTGTAAGCGTCCAATTACGACTCAATCAATTTGTAAATTTCATAAATGCAACTATGAAAAGAAAGTAATCTAGTTTCCATGAAATGACGCTAACGACACAATCATCAGAGCTCATTTGTTCCGCTTTAACATTTGACATAAAAACAATACAAAACACATATTTGCGTTAACATTTTCAGTTTTAGGCTTGAAATACTCACGTTCCTAATTTCAGACTTGTTACGAAATCCACGACTCCTACGACTCCGCCTCCTGAACATGCGGCAAGGACATGACAATAATTAAGGGAATTCCTCGAATTTCAAACCAATCAGTCTTCTCAGACGCATGAATATGTAAAACATTTACCAGCATCCCATAGAAAAGAATTGGTTTGAAAACTTCATTTTAAACTGCAAAAACAAGAACAGCATCTCAGGATTGAAGAGCAATTAGCCAACATTTTCCCTTGAATCTGAATAATAGGTCCATGCTTTGAAAGCGTTCGAAAATGTACGTTCATGTCACGCAAACATGTTTTAAAACCCGTTGGGATAGGGTAAAAAGACTGGACTCATTGGGGTTGTAGGGAAAGTATTTCCATCACAAATATCTGCAATTACCGGAATCACTAACCGTACTTGCAATCTCAACAAAGCAAGTGGATCCGTTATCAGAGATGGTCCAGTGTAGAGTGATTGATTCTGGTGGTTGCTCTCTGCCCTTTTCACCCCATGTAAAGACAGTCCAGAGGAATGGGATAGATGGCAACAGTGGATTATTCGTTAGTGAATGTTATTGTTGGTATGTTTACCAACGGCCACATTTGACATGCATTTGTATATTTCAAGAATGCTTGTCCTTCAAGGAACAATGAGGCGTGGTTAGTATGGGTCTGATCTACGAGCAATATAAATAATTCTTTAACACGGATAAGCTCTTAATGAAGTCACGTTAATGTTCAAATGCTAATTCCACAGTACCGTCTGATAACGGTAATCTGATGCAGATGGAGGTCGAGGCCTTGGACATCTTGATTTAAGGGCACGTGAGGCAATAACGCTCAGAATAACCCAATTGGTAATCTGAAAATAAATAAAGCCAACACATGTTTCGAAACTTCCTTTCAGATTTCAATAATCTGTATGTCATGCATATGTTTACGCCTGTGTGTTATGTTTACATTAATGATCATGCTCTTTTGGTGTAAAATAAGTATCCTTCATCGGGCATGTTTCGTGTACCCTGTCGAACTGAAATTATGCGTCAGCTACAACAAATGTAACATGTACTTTGGTTAATAGATCTAGAAGGTGACTCCAAACCCTAGATTAATGTAGGCCACAAACGTGATCATGAAATAAAGGTTAGTGACTGCGATCAACTGTTGTAAGCGAGTCATACGTGCTCATTTTATCATCATAAATGGAAAAATCGCAATCAAGATGGTGTTGTCAGTGCTTGTTCTGTTTGAAGGGAGGTGTTTGAAGAAGTGCAGTGACGTACGTCCTTGGCACAACCTCAAGAACAAACGGATACCTGTTTGATGATGTTTGAAGCTGTTCTTGTGTCTGCAATGTAAGACATCAACAAAACAAAAAGCAATACCAAGAAAAGAAAGAACAAATACGAAAACCCAAAACAACAAAAACAATAGCCCCAAACCGCATGAAAAGTGAAACAAAGATCACCCACCAGGAAAACAACAATAATAAAAACCCAGCACAAACCCCCTTCCCCCAACAACAACAACCCCTCAATAAGAAACAAACAACGCAAAAACAAACAAAAGCACCAAACAACAGCCTTAAATAAACAAACAAGAATGTTTAAGGAAAACCGACTCAAAACAAAGAAAATTGTCTCATAGAATATCAGTGATAGATTATCTTGCGAAACAATTCAACGGGGAGCAAGAGGAATCGCAGCTGAGAAGATGATCACCGAAAATGACACCAGGTGTTTAAGAAAGGATCAAGCATGTCCTTCCCTTTGTCGTAGCTGTCAGACGAGGTCTAACCGTGACAAAACGGCGTTACCGTGCAGAGTCAATATTGGTTAGAGGGGTCAGGTCGCTGACGAAACTGGTTGGTCACCGCATGGACTAAAACATCAATCATGAACGTAGTTGGCGCAGACTCGATTATTTACAGACGACATTGCATGTAGTTGGGATATAGCTGCTGAATGTGGCTTCACAAAAAAGAATACAAACGACTTCTTTGATTGGCATGCTAGAAGTTGAGGTGATGAAGAATGAGGACAATATTTATGGATAGACAACTTCTTTATTCTATATAGGCGCCGTTTCGACATTGATTCTAATGCCACTTGCTTGACAACGACATTAGAATATATGTCAAAACGTCACCTATACAGAATAAAGAAGTTGTATATCCATAAAAACTGTCCTCATTCTTCATGAAAACAAAAGGTTGGTCAGTCTACCATGGACTACCATGATGTACACTTTCCACTGCCGGGCAAAAGAAAATATATGCTTGAAACTTGGCTTTAACCAAAACATTATGGAGATTATCAAAACATTACTAGGATGAAAACGGTTGCAGTAGTTTCATTTTACCACTATGTATGTGGATGTATGCCTTTTAGCAATCATGCGGAACATAAGCTGTCGTTTGCATAAAAATATACAGTCAAGCACTTTTCACCGCTGGGACCAAGTTTCAGCGGTGTTTGACACTAGGTCGGCAGTTATTTATACGGGAGTATTGTATCCTTTGCCCTGCTGTATCAGAGTACATTTGCTTTAGTTAGGAGACTAGTTTGTTTATAAATGATGAGGCATTCAGCACGAAAACAACATAAAGACGGAGTGATAGGTTCACATTTTGGCTTACACCTGGTGTTACTATTTGATCGTGATTAATGATTACACACTAATTATATGCATGGAGTCGATGTCCGCTTTTAGCGGAGATTTCAAATAAATTATGGACTTGTTTTGTCGCTTATAATTGTACCCCACTTGTTGCTATCTCACTTCATCCAATACTTTCTATTATAACGCATGTATTAAACGTGTGTTGATAGGCAGTGATCTGTGATGTATCAGGCAGAGCTTTAACATGGTCGACAACTTGATGAGGCTCCTGTATCCTGTTCATCACTACATTTGCTTCAAGCATGTGAGGATGCTTTTCATATCCTTACATGGTAATTTAATACCTCCTGTGGCCAAGGTCACACATATAACTGTGCAGTGCGTATGCCGTATTCACGCGTCTTTCTATCTTAATGCTATACACTGAATCATCTGAAAAACAATCTGTTCTGCTCAAAATCGACAATACCTTTTCAATGGAGATATGGTGTTTCAAAATGAAGTGATCAAATGCATTATAACATCTTTTTCTTGATACAAATTCTCATTTGTTGCTAATGGAACTATATTTTCTGATGTCATTACGCTTTTCAAGGTTGACAGATATATCTTGTGGAACTGAAGGCTATTCGACTACTTCCGTCTTTCCGAGCTGGTTTACAACACAAGGTGTACGTCGCTGTCAGTAATGTATGTATCCTCAAAGCATTAAAAACAAGTTGATATTTCTACTTCCCTAATTGATAGAGCTGGTCCTATTTTGCTTGGTTGTATATATGCAGTAACACGCTTTCAAGGCCACTGTTGAAGTGGGAGTGTATTCTGTTATACGTTGAATCCCAAATTAAGTGAACCGGAGATAATTTCTTTAAAGAAGTTGATTTGAATTATAGAAACAATACAGAAATGTGATATAATTAACAATTGTATTCTAAACTTAGCTAAATTTACAAATAACTACAAAAGGAAGTAAAAGTGTCAGCATAAAATAGAGTGACATAAAGCAATGATCAGAACAATAAGAAAATGATGGAAATATTCTCCTCACTGTTATAGGCCTTGGCTCAGTATCCAGGATGAAAGGCGATCTTCACACAGCTGGTTGTCTTCTTGTTACGTAAATGTCATGTGAGATAACTGACGTAAAAGCACGCCTCTTTATACAGTGTAACTGTTCTGAAACGTTCCTTGATATACTGGGTTAACCTAATCTGGAAAGAACCACACAGTACTAGTACCTTGTAATACCTTCTAGAACACTCAATGATACGGCTTGTCTTCTTGTAACGTCCAGTCCGTTTGATTTCATTTGAGACCGACGAATTGCTCAACCAAATTTTGCACCCATGAAATCGACGGACCAACTCTGATGATTGGTTTCATACTTTTGGACATCCGAATAAAAAAGTTGTTTAACAAACGATCATTATTTTGTTGTCACTTATTGTTATTATTAACGAGGGGGAGCACTTGCTGGTAGAACAGCAAAAGTAATCAACGAGCGTGTACAGTGAAATTTTCAAATTTACAAGTGCAACTCGCACACCTGGCTGTTCTACCAGCAAGTGGTCCCCCCTCGTAATACTATTTGGAGTATTTTCTTACTTCTTCATCCTGTGAATGAAACCTTTGACATCTTATGACATATATACGCATCCCAGTTTTCATTCACTTGAAAACATATCCTTTCTCTGAATTTAGTGAAGGAATGGAACTCACTGTTGTTGTGAGATTATGTACCTCTGATTTCACTGACTAAAAAGGCAATTCATTTGAAGTGAGCACAAGTGCCCCTTAGTGCTCGAAACCTAGTACTTTTCCGGCTGTTTGCAGACTGTCTTGTGTTTTGAAAATGATATTTAGTCTGGAGCAGCACCCACACAGAAACAGCAGAAACTACGAACTAACTTCCAACGTTCTGAAAAACAACAACAACATTGACAAATATTCCTAATGTCATGAGAAACCAGTTTCCTAAAGAGTTGCTGACACTTGGCGATCAACATTGGGGTCATTTTATACGATATCATTCACTTAAACAAGGCATTCATACTACTTTATGGAGGGAAAAAATATTTATCACTGATATAAAAAAATAATTAATGATTATAAAAGATATTATTACCCTCATGTGTTTCCTAAATGTGTTTTCATAAATACCACATACTAGAAATAGAACATATGTATTAAACTCGCGTTATGCAAAATGTATACAATATTTGATATACGGAAAAACAGTCGGCAAATACTCTTTCTTTGTTTGACTGTCATATAAAGGTTGAAGGTCGTAGGTTTCAGGTTTTAAGGATGATGTTGTCCAAATAAGTATGAAAAAGAATACGCACTACTTAAAAAACATTAATATTAGTGCACAATATAGTTTGCGCCAACCATCTGTATGTAATATAACTGACATGTCGCAATAAGCGTTTGATATAAAATGTATATGACTATATCGTATGGATTTTGTTTTATCTATATTGCATTTATCTCTCTGAAATGTCAAAAAACATTTGTTCAAGAATATTTTTTTGTGGTTTAACACTACATCAAAACTATTTTCATATAATAGACGTAGACACAGTCAGGCTTAATTTAGAGGTTTGTCGCATAAACCCAGAATATAGACTCATAGACATTCTTGGAAAGTAGGTAACACGGGAATCGGTGTTTTATGTAAAAAACGTTCTGTAAGCATATTGAAGACGATTACCAATTTATAACATATATTTGATATCTTGTGACCATTATTTTGGTATATATTCCAGCAGGATTGTATGTATTCCCAAAATATGCGTTTAGTCTGAATATCTCAGCTGAAAGGTGAAACAATAATCAAGTAATTGTCTTGATATGTTTGTGTATGCCAAGCAATCCTTTATTATATTAAATTGCAAAACTATATTATCATATGACACTTATTACTCAAGATGATGGTTTTATAATTTGGTCATAACAATTTGGTCATAATTTGGTCATAACAACTAAATATATTATTGAACTGCAACGTGTATTTGCAGCATTGCACGCAATTTTGTAAAATGACTAGTTCAGTGAAATGAAATAGAAATATTTTGATCGTACAATCAATCTCAACAAAACGTCTGTCTGGAAAAGCGTGTATAATACAGCAACCACATGTCCTCTGACGCTTCGAAATCACGTTCTGTTCCGCGAGAGTGTGATTTTAGGACGCGCTGTAGTAGGGAATTAATTGGTAGAATTTGATCACGGAATCAAATGCTTACCTTCCATGTTGAAATATCCATCAAAGCTCGCCGATTTGCTCCTAAAATGCCCATGTCTGTAAACAATACAAGTTTTATGTCCTGGACCTGATGTTTTTTTGAAAAGTACAAAAGTTTTGAATGAACTGAAACTTGACACATTTTTATCTGGAAAAAGTTTTTTAGTTTTTTACGAGGAAAGTACATATTTTCCTCATACAGATAACGGCTGGCACACACACTAAACCTGGAGAGGATCACATGTTGTTTAAGCGCCGAGTAAGTGGTTCCCGGATGTTTGCTTGCTGGGATTTGTAATGGATTTGTGCTCTTCACTTAGATCGTGGACAAAGGTCCTGCAAGAGTCTTCGTTACATCCATAACTGGCACCAGTTTACATTTACTAACACTGCTTTGAACAGCATTTCAGTTATATCATGGTTTGTCATCTTAACGTAGGCGGAGGTGAGGTGAAATTGGGTTTAACGTCGTGCTTGAGAATATTTCGCTCATATGGCGACGTGCATGCGTGTGTATGTGTATGTGCGGCTCCTTGTACTGAAGCTGGTTTTATAGTGCTAGCCCACTGAGATACTAACGTATGCGGAAAGCCTGACGTGATATCATAAAGGTGAAAAGTAAAAGCGACAAAGCCTTTTCCATCATCCTCCAAAAGCCTCCAAAAGCATTTTAGAAAGTGGTCAAATGTAACATGCGTTGGTGTTACACTTTCGTAGTCAAGTACTTGTTCAATTTTTTTCATAGTGGAGTGCCATGGATTAATCACAAATATAACACACGTTAAGTATATGCTTATGACCGCCTCCGTGGTTTAGTGGTTAGAGCGCCCACCCGGAGAGCAGAAGGTCGCGGGTTCGATCCCCAGCCGCGTCATATCAGAAGACGCTAAAAATTGGTACTTGTTGGTCCCTGCATGGCGCTCGGCATTAATTGGTACAACAAGGACTGGTCGGCTCGGAGTCAGTATAATGTGTCCGAGTGGGGTATTCATGCAAAACTTTGGCATGGTATCTCAGTGAGCTAGCACTATAAAACCAGCTTCAGTCTGGGCTAGTAGAAGCAGTCACACATACACACGCATGCACGTTGTCATATGAGCGACGTTAAACCCCACTGCACCTCATATGTTGATGAACTAAGACTAAGTAGTGATGATTCCACGAGAGATCCCGTCATAAACACATGTAAAGGTAAGTCAAGTATTCTACTGAACTAACAAGGGAACATGTGTTATAATGAAAAATTGGGAATTGCATTGGGCATAAATTTTGGTCATCGGTGCTTTAAAAATTCTGAAATGATCTCAGCCATAAACATATTAAAAGCCTTAACTGT